CTTCGGATCCAGCGGCAGTAAACCTCCTGACTAGCTACGGGTCATGCACTACCTGCACACAGTCAAGCAGAAAACCCGCGAAGGCACAAGTGTGACAAAGCAAACAATGCGAAAAAGAAAAGCTAAATTAACAAAATTCACGTTTCTTCAACAACCTAGTCGTCCCCGGCAACGGCGCCAAAAACTTGACTCGCTCCTACTGTCACTCTAGAAAATGGCCAAGTGTAACCACCTCCTAAAGCGTAATATAGCGGGTTTGGGTTTTAATGTCAACTCGGGTCCTAGATGTGATGACTACTCCGTGAGTTATTATTACCTAGCAGTGAAACTTTAGTGAAAATCCAAACAAGCAAACAAGCAAAGCAAGTAAAAAGGTTGTTTTCAAGTCGAGAGAGGTCACCCGGATATGGTTCCCCCTAGACTGCAGTTAAGCCGGATTGTAATTTACCAAGTTCAGGTTCAATGATAGTTATACTGCGGGAGGTTCTTAATCAGTCTGAAGTATCGACTAAAGGTCTCCAGACCCTCTCAATCTGAGTCTCCAGCGGGCGACTAACCTCCACCGGAGTAAACAGATTGAGGCCCTAACGAACCAAACCTCTACTACCGAAGTCAATTCGGTACAGAATAGTGAATTGACTTCTCGACTAAAGTCGCCAATTGACTACCTTCAATCAAGGGTGCTCTATCAACCCGGGTCCTAGATGTGATGACTACTTCATGAGTTCTTATTATCTAGCAGTGAAACTTTAGTGAAAATCCAAACAAGCAAACAAGCAAAGCAAGTAAAAAGGTTGTTTTCAAGTCGAGAGAGGTCACCCGGATATGGTTCCCCCTAGACTGCAGTTAAGCCGGATTGTAATTTACCAAGTTCAGGTTCAATGATAGTTATACTGCGGGAGGTTCTTAATCAGTCTGAAGTCTCGACTAAAGGTCTCCAGACCCTCTCAATCTGAGTCTCCAGCGGGCGACTAACCTCAACCAGAGTAAACAGATTGAGGCCCTAACGAACCAAACCTCCACTACTGAAGTAAATTCGGTACAGAATAGTGAATTGATTTCTCGACTAAAGTCGCCAATGGACTACCTTCAATCAAGGGTGCTCTATCAACCTAGGCAGATATTCTCTTTCTAGGTTAAAGCATAAACAAAAGGAATTTGATCAGGATTCATGCCATTCAACAAATCAAACCTCAATTGAACATATTCATATCAATGAATCTGTACTTGGGTTCATACAATCAGGCCTAACATACAAATCTAGGGTTCTTCATACCCAGGTGAATAAGAAAGTTACTCCATAGAGAGAGATGGAAAATTTAGCTCTGATACGGAAACCATACTGTGAAGGATGGGAATCTGCTTCTGGCACTCAATCAAATCCTCTCCAAGCTCAAGCCGCGCTCCAATGGTGATGGAGATCGATCAAGGACACTTGCAGAGTCAGGTTCGTCACTTTCTCTCTCTAGGTATCGCTTTTTCTCTCTAAAACTCGGAACCCCCACTCCCTTGGCTGGAAATTGGGTTAAAGCCCAGAAAGTCCCGATCACACGGCCAGGCCACACGGCCGTGTGACTTTCTCAGCTGCCCGTGTGAGTGTCAAAACGCGGAGTTTCGATTAAGTGACTTCCAGGCTTTCTACACGGCCAGGGACACACGACCGTGTGGATTTCCAGGCTGCCCGTGTGAATTCCCTGGAATTTCCACACGGCCCGTGTGATTTTGCCCGTGCAATTTGATGTCACACGGCCAGGTCACACGGCCGTGTAGGTTTATAGGCGTGCCCGTGTGGCTTCCTCAACTTCTCGCCAAACGTCCAATCTTCGTCCAATCGACCCCAAACTCGTTCACGTACTAGGATCTGAAATATCACAAACAAGAACAACTTAGCGTGAAATCAGCCTAAAACGCGAGAATCGACATCTCAAACGGCTCAAGAATAGGGGTAAAAACATGTGTAATCAATGGTCTATCAGACGTAACACTGAAATTTCAAACAAACATAACTTTGCGCTCAGTTATCCGATTGTAGCAAAAAAAAATTGATTCCATATAACTTTTCAAGATCTTTCAATCTGCAACAAGACATAATCTCAAAAAATGTGGTTTGTCACCCTGAACGAGCAATTTTTCGATTTTGTCAAACTTTGGAAGGCCATAACTTTTAGCTCCTCAATCCGAACGTCGTAAAGTTTTTTTTTATTGCGCATAACTTTTTAAGAACTACAACTTTTACTAGGAAAGAATTTTTTAAATAAGAAATTTTTTTGGTATACAGGATTTTGGCAATAACTTTGCCTTTACTTTTCACAAATGCACATACTTTCCAAAATTATGGTTATAATCAAAGTTTTAGTCCTTCAAAAGTTATGCGAAATCAATAAAAGTTTCATGACATTCGGATTGTGGAGCACAAAGTTATGGTCTTCCAAAGTTTGTCAAAATGGAAAAATTGCTCGTTCGGGGTAGCAAACGATTTCTTTTTGGAATGAAAGCTTGTTGCAGATTGAAAGATCTTGAAAAGTTATGTGGAATCAAAAAAGAATTCGCTACAACCGGATAACCGAGCGCAAAGTTACGTTTGTTTGAAGTTTCAGTGTCACGTCAGGCATTCACCGCGGCCGTTTACCGCGGTGAATGCATTCAGCGCTTTGGTCTACCGCGGTGAATGCATTCACTGCGGTTTCCAACAGCGATGATGCCCAAACTTGTGTATTTTGGGAATTTTTTTTATAACGTGTTTATTTTGAGAATTCTTTTTTAAAAACATGTGTATTTTAGAATTTTTCCGGATTTGGGTGATGGATTAAAATTCATGATGGTAAATTACCTTTCTACCCTTACTTATTACTTTAATTACAAAGTTGTCATACTTTAATTCAATGGTCATGCAACTATAAACTTTTATAATATCGTATTTTATATATATGAGAATTTATCATTTCGTTTTGTAATATCGTAGTTTATATAAATATGAATGTATATCGTAGCAATAAAGCGAGCAATTGGTTGCCATCGATACATAATATTGCGTACATTATTAGATGAGTTGTTAATTAGTGTCAAATTGTAATACATTTCTATATTTGTAGTTGAATTATTAGTCCACATAGTGGTAAAGCGCTTAAAATTTCATTGTATGCGTTGGATTTTTTTTAATGAAAATTTTGGATTATTATATAGAAATATATTTAGACAAGGGTAACAAGGTAATTTGTATTTCATATCCACAAATCTATTCAAACAAAATTCATAACCAAATCCAACAAACAAACAATAGACATGCTCAAATCCATAATGTCACCAAAATCCATCATATATCCATGGTTTTCCAAAACTCAGGTTTTACCAAAACCATCATTTTTCAAATCCATAAAGCAAAAGACCCGTAAAGTCCATCATTTATGACCAAACTACCCCTTCTTTTATCTTTCTCATCTCATACCAATAAGAGTAATGTAGGTAATTTTCACTTTATGCACACAAATCTAATAACCAAATCCATCATGAAATCAACGAAACAAACAATAATGGTATTTTACAAGTCCATAATGAACCCAAAACCTTCATATATCCATGATTTTACAAAACCCAAATTTTACCAAAACCTTCATTTTTCAAATCCATGAAGCAAACCCATAAATTTAGGATAGTTTTGGGCACATGAATAATTTTATTTCCCAAAGAATGACATAAGATTATGGGATCTCCTATAGTAACTTGAGTATAATTTTAAGTTAGGTAACTTGCATTGATCTAAACCGTTAAAATTGACAAAAATTATTTTAAACCATTGATTAAAGAAATAAAAAAAAGTATAAAAATAAATGACAACATGGGTTGCCGGTCACCACATTCCCAAGTTACCTTTTTTATTTTTTTTCTTTCCTTTTTCACATTTAGTTGTCTTTCCATATTATAACCTTTCATTTTTTTAATTCTTATTGAATTAGAAGCGTTACGTAAGCCTTCCGTAATAACTTAGCTCTTTACGTAACACGACGTTAATACTCATTAAGTAAAGAGGCCTTCTATTACGTAAGGCTTCCGTAATTATATTTTACAACTGTTACGTAAAATACACATGCACTACGTAAAGGTTACGAAATGACAGTTATTTATTACGTAACAATTAAATCTAAAGCGTTACGCAAGACTTCCATAATGACTTAACACTTTACGTAACGCAAAGTTAATACTCATTACGTAAAAAGACCTTCCATTATGTAAAGGTTACGGAATGACAGTTATTTCTTACGTAGCAGTTAAATCAGTAGTGCAACGTAAGGCTTCCGTAATGACTTAGCATTTTACGTAACGCGAGGTTAATACTCATTAGGTAAATACACATTCTATTACGTAAGGCTTCCGTAATGATCTTTTACAACGATTACGTAAGATTATCATATGTTACGTAACCATTACGTAATGCCTATTGTATTTTACGTAATACGACCTGTGAAACCTGCTGTAGCAGGTAAAAAAATTCAAGTGTCCTTACTTCAAGTTACCGTAGGAAATCCCTAAGATTATATTCATTTTTTAGTTATTACTATAAATATTGAATTAGGATAGTCTATTATTATACGTTAAAATAATTTTTGGGATAGTTTTGGGCACATGGATAATTTTTTTGTCAAATGATGACACAACATTATATTCATTTTTAGTTATTATCGTAAATATTGAATTAGAATAGTTCATTATCATACGTTAAAATATATATTTTTCATTTATCATTTGGAATAATTGTAAAATATTTTTACGATAACAGATTATGAAATTCGACCCTCACGAACGTCAATCTGCTCCTGAGACAAAGTATAGTATATGTATTTTATTTATGCTATGAATACATAAGTGTTAATGGGCCAATTATTGAAGTAGCCCACCACAATTTCATGCGCAGAACACTAGAGAGAGCCCACACTTTTTGACTTGTCTAAGTTAAAGACCTAACCTTGTCTCCTCTTAGTCCCTCTCTATACCCCTACGTAAGATCTGAGATCAGATGTTGATTAACTTAATAAGTGATAAACTCCATAAGTTAAAACCAAGTTTAATGACCAAACGTAAAATCCATCTCAAAATCTAGCAAATTTAACTGCTTTTATGTTGGTGGATCATGCATCTCACAATTCATAGTTGTTGAATGCATGCAATAACAATCATTTATATAAAAATTATCACAATATACATCCAACAACAGCTATAAGTTATACAAACGAGATCCAATGACGTCAGCACGTACATATGCTAAACCCCATATATCCGCCTAGTCATTTACCAATTTAAAACGCTGCAATAATCCAAAAATAGTTCTCACATCTTCATTTCCTCTCTTGTATTACAGTGATTGAGGCTTCTTCTTCCCTGTTCTTGGCCTTGCCAACTTTCTCCTGCTCAAATATTCCTTCCCCGATGGCTCTTCTTCCACTATAGTTGAAAGCCCTTCACCCACGTCCCCTGTCCAACACAACCAAAGTAAGCAACATTTCTCTCAAACCATTTGAAAGCAAAAAAAAAGTCACTTTGTCGCCGGAAATTTTAAATACCTGAGAGTGAAATGTCACCCTTTGTCTCCATAACCATTCTCATGACAATCTCTTCCAATTCCCCATTCTCATCATCCTTCACGAGTAGTTCATCAGCCTTTGCACTCTTCGCAGCAGCAAACAGCCACGTGGCATCCATCATCTTGCTCATCAAATGCACCGCGTCGTACGGGATAACTCCCACTCCACGACGTCGTTCCATCTTCACACACCCGCTCACGTACATTATGCAGTCCATCAAGCACTCCTTCGCCATCCCTTTCATCTCATACCCCTTCGCCCTCCTCCACAAGCTCCTGTTCCCGTCAGCCGTCGACGACAGCGAAATCGCCCGAGTCGAGTCGCTGATCGCCCCATCCACGTCACCAACAACCCACCGACACTCTGCTCTGTCACCATACAAGCACATTCTCTCTTTCCTGAACCGCAACGGGCACGTCTCCAGCGCTTCACCATACTTCGCCATCGCTTCCTCCACCTCCCCGACCACGAAGAAACGTTTCGCCTGTTGCTTTATCAGCATGGCCAGAACTTTCCTCTCCTCCAGTCTCTCTTTCGACATTGTCCTCTCTTTCTTCCTTCTCCCCACCTTCAAGCTCCATACTTCTTCTAATCTCTTTTCAACCCTCTCATTACCCTTCAGCTGCTGCACCTTCCATTGCAGCTTGTAGTCCAAAAGCAGAGCTTCCGCGACTGTTTCGCCCACGTTTGATCTGTAATGACCAAGATTTTTAACCTCGACCAAATCGACGAGGCAGAGGGAAGCAAGCTCCATGACTCTGTACCGAGTTTCTCGGTCTCTGAGAAGCAAAACAAGGCAGTCGATCCCCATGTACTGCCAATCATCCGACGATCTCGAGATGTTACAGAGACTTCGGATCACTTGTTCCGACTCAGCAATCTTCTTCCTGCCAGCTTTGTAGTAACAGAGTATCCGAATCAGCCCGATGCCAGCTGGCGAAGAGTGATTCGCTACTCCGCCCCACATCTTGCTCAATCTCTCGAGGAACCCAACTCTGCTGCAGATCAAGGTTATCGATCTCTCCTTGGATGCGAAACAGTTTAAGAGATAAAGAGACCAGCATTGAACCTGGCCAGCCCATTCCTCAGCTTTTCTTTCTTCCATTTCCGAGCCACCAACACCTCGCGTGAGCAAATCACAGTGGTACTTCAATCTCAAGGCACCGTCTTTCACCCCGACGAACTCCTTGTACACCACGTCAGCTGCAGAGCAAGCCAGCTCCATGGCTAACTCAACGACCTCACGTTCGTAAACCGCAACTGCTTCGAAGGTGGCCTGGTAGCTGGCGAGGTGTCCCAGGGCTCGAACCGCGACTCGCTGTTCGACCCAGCTGATTTTACCTCCGAGGAGGTCCAACAGCGGCGGGATGACCCCTGACTCCACGGCCTGCTCTGCGAACTCCGGCTTGTTCATGGTGTAAGAGCCGATGACGTGGGCTGCGTAGTAGGGGATGTAGATGTTTTGGTCGTGCAGAAGCCAGGAGGGAGATTTTATGGCCTTTTGGATTAGTGCAGCCATGGAAGCGAAGATGCCGAGGGAAGGGAGCTGCGGGTCGTCTGGATGGTGCATGGCGATGGTCCATAGCTCGCTGAGGATTAGGACGTTTTCATGGCTCTCGATAGAAGGCATTTGGTTGAGAAAAGTTGTTAGGGATGCTGTTCTTGAGAGTGAGTTTTTGGGGCGTTTTAATGTGCAGAAGAAGCAGTTGCAGGTTTGGGTGGTGAGTGTTGTGTTGATGGGTGGTGGGATTGGCTTCTTTTCCTTTTGGTTGATAGAGTACTCCATAAGTGTGGAGGAGGAGGATTGTTTGAGGTTTAGGGTTTCTGGATTTGGTTAGCTAGTTTGGGAGATAAATGAGGTAGGAAGTGGCATGTAAAGTTGGGAGTGGGGAGTTAGTGGCCTATTGGCTGAGTGACACCTAGCTCGTGCTCTGTTTAAAAGGGTTTCTTCCATGATGATCTAATATTTTATAAGGTTCTTTTTGTGGTACTTTATTGGTGTTTAAATGCTTATGCTCCCTTTTTGTCAAGAAGGGTTAGGTTTAATAGCAGTTCTTTCAAAGAATGTTGTTTATTGCATCTAATCACGCAGCTTTTGAACATAGTAAATCAAAGAGATGGAACATTCTTCTGTTAGTGCTATTTCAACAAACCTATGAGACTATAAAGAACCAAATATGCATTGCTACGGGAGCTTAGATATGTAGAAATTGGAATTAACAATTCTTACAATCAAGGCTTTCTTCTTCCCATCCCATGCTTTTCCAGGTGCTGCCCACAATGGAAAGCAAGTGGTCCTAACCCTCAATCAGGGCTTCCCAGTTCCCAGACCTGACCTGACCACTTCAGAGCCACTCCACGTTGTTCTTTCCATTCTCACTTTTTGAACTACTTTGTTTCTAGATCCACTTTGTGTCCCAAAGGTTCTTTGTCTTATCCAGCAAGCGATCACACGTAAGAAGCAAAGAAACTAAACCTTCTATATCTCCTGAGGTACCCTTGTAAATCTCCTATATGTTCGAACTAGACTTTTTGTGATTCCCTAAGCACATTTTGGCATGATGGTGTCTACTCTAGTTGAACTCTGCATCTCAGTTTGAGCTCCTGGTCATCATCTCATAAAACCTTCCATGTTGTTCCACGCTTATTCTATTTCTCCTTGGAACTTCAAGCAAATCTTTGACCAAGAGATAACTAAACAACGGACTGAATTTTTTAACAAGCAAGTTTTGCAGATATGCCATGGAGTCATCATGCTGTAACATAAAGATTGTGATCAAAATGATCGAGAAGATGGACTCACTTGAGGAAGATCTCAGGCTGGAATCAAGTGAATGGTCTCCCACAAGGACTCTTTAGGGACATTCTTCCACACAATATGTAACTATCAACTGGAAAAGAAAATTTAGAAGGTTAGTGGAATGTCCTTCAACCAATAACATGGCAGGAGACTGTGGATGCCTGAAATTCGTGGATGCCAGAGATACAAAATAAAAAGCTGCAGAAAGACCTTGAACATGCAAGCCTTAGCCAGTAATGTGCCGATTCTTCCACTCCCATCATAGAAGAGAAAAAGGGAGCAAGGGACCACAACATGAATAAGGGAAATTGTCCCCTTCAAAACCCTGAAGGAGCAAGTGGTCCAAGCCCTACATTCTCAACTTATGGAAACCTCAAAGAATTAAATATCAGTCTAAAGATTCATAGGACTTGGGTAATGATCACCAACCAGCAACAAATCTAAGAACACGTGGTAAAAGATTAAACAACCCCAATGTGAAGTACAAAACCATTGAAGGTCTCAAGAATATGCGGCTATTATCTAATGCGGTAAAGTTTGAAAAAAGATGTTCGATTAGGTGAATTGGCATTAACAAAACAAGAAAAGAAAAGGGTTTTGGTGAAAACTTTCTTTGTATCTGCAATATTGACAGCACTTTTGTGAGCAATATATCAATTCCTCAGATGCTTCTATCGAATCAAACCCATGTATGTTAATGGGGTTGCAGGCGGTACTGAGACTTTTTCCTCTCTACTATATTGCTAGTTCGTACGACATGCGCAAGCAGCGTATACAAACAAACAACCAAAGAACTACAATAAGGAAACTAGAGATGAGGGGCGGGAACTCACCAGCTAAAGTCGCTTTCTTGATGATCAAAGAAGAAAGAACCAGTAGGAAGGTTTTATGATTAAGTGCTACATTACCAATCAGATCACCATGTATTCTCAAAAGTACAGCTACATGCATGGCGGTCGGCGGAGGATTCACTATTCAGAGAATTATTGCCGTGTAGGCTGTATCGAGCTCGAGTAATGCTCTTGTAGCTAGCTAGGTAGTTGTTCACTGAACAGAATACAGAGAGGGCTTGGGACTTCTGAGTCAGAACTTTTAACAAACACGTTATGTTCAACAGTCACCGTCCAGCCGAGGGAGAGTCTTGTGATGAATCGGCCTTCAGCGAATGTCACAACAACTCACAATTGAACCGAACTGAATTATCAAGATTTGACAAGACGAGGGCATGATTCGATATGATTATACATTCACGTATATCTTGGCTACTCGACTCGCCAGCTAGCTTTTGTATTGTATGGCTACTACGGCAGTGTCAATCACAACACTACAGAGTTATTGCGTCGGAGATTCACCTGCAAAACCCATTTGCTGCGAAGTGAAGCTAATTTCGGCGGATGGAATGGAGTGAGGAATTGAAATTCATCGAGTTGGCCCAGCCTGCAATCTCCAATTCCTACTACCCTCCGAGTTACAATAGTTGATCTGATAGATGTTAGAAATTTTGTACAACGGTACAAGTGGCAGGATACGGATAAAAGAGGATTGCTTACAGCTTACCCTTCTCCAATGTGTTAGCCTTGGACTAACCCCTCAGTCACTTTTAACATGGATTTAAAAATTATGGTGTTGTAAGTTGAATCCGAAGAATCAGTGATAGGATATTTTATGTTTAAATTATGATTTAATTTTGAAAGAGGATTGCTTATAGCTTACCCTTCTCCAGTCCAATGTGTTAGCTTGGACTAACCCCCAGTCACACTTAACATGGATTTAAAAACCACGGTGTCAGAAGTTGAATCGGAAAAATCAGTGGTAGGATATTTTATGTTGAAATTATGATTTAATTTTGGTTTAACCGTTTTATACAGCTAAGTATCGCTTACTAGTTTAGCATCATGTATGAGGTTTTTCTTGTCAAAATGCTTATATGGTACGATTTTTCAATCTTTATTAAAATGTATCTATAGAAGTTTTTCGAATATGGTTTGATTTTTGTGATAATTAAATTAATGCATTGTAATCAATGTATCAATCAAGGCAATTGGTGCATTGTAATTTATATTGATTGGTTTTTGTACTAGTTATTGATTGTTGGAGTATATAAAATATTCAGGTCAATCGGGCGGGTTTGGGTTGAGTCAATCACGCTACGAGTTAGTCGGGTAGTAGGTGAATTGGGTTACAAATCAATCTGGTTTGGTTTAATCGGAATGCAGATCAACTTGGATTGCGAGTCATTCTGGTTAGGGTTAATCGAGTTGCAGGTTAATCGAATTGCACACCAACCAGGTTGCAGGCCAGACGAGTTGCGAGTCATTGACTTTTAGTCAACTCAGGTTGCAGGTTTGGTTGACTGAACGAGTTACTCGTTCGAGTGATAATCGAAGGTCGGCTATCCGTTTAGACAAAAACCGAACCACAAAATAGTTAGTCGACTAACCGAAACAAAGAATTGGAAAATAAGTTAGTCGATGGAAGGTCAAACCATTAGATAACCGAACCTCAAAATCCAGTTAACCGATAACCAACCAACAGAATGCTTAAGATCGATTGAAGGTCTCTAGTGTGAAGGTTGAACCAACGACGAATTAGGAGCAACTGATATGGGCCACCGCAACAATTGGAACCATAAACTTGGGTAGCCAAAAAATTTAGGTGGATGGATATGGATTCTAATTACCACTTCTAGTGCATATAGATGCTTCTCTTTAGGCAGAGTGGCATGGGATAAGATTGGATTTTGTTTCGATTTTCAAAGAGAACACGACAGAGAAGTATAGAAGAGAGGAATCCCCCCCCCCCCCCCCCCCCCCCCCCCCCCCCCCCCCCCCACAGTAAGTAGCAGAGAAGAGAAAGGGGAATAGAGAAAGAGAGGAGTAAATTTTCGGGGTTCAAGATAGGTGCTTAGTCATAGGGTGCATAAACCGTGTCTAACTAGATCCCTTGATTTTAAGTAAGGCCAGAAATATTGAGTTAGAGTAAACGACTTTTTTTTATTTGTCTAACTTTTTAATTGACTTTTATATTCTTTGTTTTCACTTTGATTTCAATTTTTTTTTTCACAGATGGAACAAGTTCGTTGTGATCTACAAAATGATATCCACTTTTAATATATTTAGGGATTTTTTTCCATACTGCTCATGCCACTAATTACCATCATAGTACCGCCTGGTACCGTATTTGTTTTTAACTCGAATAGATCTATTAGATCTATAAGTTTCTCAGGAAATACATTTCAAAGACCAAATTAATCTATAAGTGGATGATATTTTGAAGAACATAATTAATCTATTTTTTTGCAAAAAATAAATAAATTACGACTTCAAACGAAAGAGAAATAGTTAAAATTACTTGTGAAAAAATTAGAGGATCTCCATAAATGGTAAGTGGGGGGTTAATTTTAAAAATTGAATGACTCATAAGTTATGCACTATATCTGCTTCCATTTTTTTTATAGGTAGCAAAGAAAAGGGCATTGCTATTCGTCGCCCTAAAACACCTTATTCGTCGCCCTAAATTTTATTAAAATGACATAACTATCCTTAACTTAATTTTTGTTTTTCAAAACATATAAACACTAAAAGAATGCATACAACTACACACAATAAAAAAATATCTCAATAACAAATTATTAAATTACAAGTTTCAATTATACAAATGAAAAAAATGCAAATAAACCCGCCGGAAAATGGTGGGAGGATTGGCCACCTGCTCCATATTGCTTATTGCATAGGGGCAGTTCAACAACAGAAGAATCCGGCAGCAGCAATAGGAAAGCGGCGGCCTCCTTCTTCGTCTTCTTACTCCTCTGCTTGGGTTCGACTCCAACGGTACTAGAAGCAGAGCACCGGTGGCGGTCGGGTTGAGGTGGGCAGCTGGCGAGAGAAGAATCGACAGTGACAGCAGCGGCCGGAAGACAGACGAGCTCGGTGGCGGCTGGGCAAGGCAAGAGATTGTAGGGTTTTGGTTAGAAACGAGACTGAAAGTGGAGGGTAAGAGTGTCAATGTGATACATTTTAGGGCGATAAAATTTGAATTTTAGGGCGACGAATAGCAATTCAGCAAAGAAAGGGGAGGGGGGGTGTGTGGACAGAGGAGAGAGGGTGCCAATTAACTTCATTTTTGTGCAAATTTAGTTTTCATCTTCCCATTGATTGACCGTCTTACCGAACAACATTATTGATTTCAGTTACGGTTAACCTTAGTTTACTCGAAGACAGTTTTAGCTTCTAGTTTAGGTACTTATCCGTTACCGGATAACCAAAAATTCAGTTCGGATAAACCACAACTGAATCAACTATGACTAGGTATTCTGTTTTGACACCTTTAAATCGACATCAAACCTCAACTTGACCGTGATATAAAAAAAGATATTACCTGTTTCACGTGAAACCAAATTACCACCGTCGGTGTGCCAAACGACGGTGTTGATTTGATTGAATTGATGCACCACTAACTTCTAACCAACGCGACCGTTACTACGGTTCACACCTCTACAAACAATGTTCAAACAAGGGTGTTTGAGTTTTTGGGAATTTACGTTACCGCTACTCCTATGGAGATTCTTGTGGAGAGCTCCACGACTACCACTAAGACTACAACTATGAAGATCCTTTCCGGAAGGAGAGCTCCGCAAGGAGTTACAGAGAAATATAAAGAAGATAAGTTTGGAACATTGTTTCGTGGTACCACAAGGTTGTTGAACTCATGATGCCACCTTAGAATTTCACGATGTTGTCTAGCCCGCGACGTCGTTAAACTTGCGGTGTCGGCGAATTTATTTTTAGGTGAAAACACTACCATTCCTACTTTCCTAGCTCAGGTTTTCTCGTATCTCATTTGGAAGCCATGACGAGCTAAGATCAGGTGACTAATGGGGTCCCTTAGTCACTTGTCTAAGTCGATCTCAGCCCTTCAAACTCATTAAATTCACGCCTCTAATTAATTTAATTTAATGAAGGGTAATGTAGTAATTGCATGATTCATGATTAATTTATTTCTTAGTATAATTAAGGGTTAATACCCTCGTTTGGCACGAAGTATAGCGTTAGTGACATTTCTGGCCCAAGTTTTCAAATAAGACATCTCTGGCCCACTTTTCAAATTATCGGACGAATTTGGCCTGTGGGACGGGTTGACTGTCAGATTTGACGGTCAACAATGTTCTCCGTTGCTTACTCAGCATTGGACTCTGACGTGGCTTCTCCACGTCATTTATTTTTATTTCCCCTTTTATATCCATTTCTAATTCAGTAAGTTAAAAAAAAAAAAAACTAAACTAAAGGGAAAGGTGGAGACCACACATCCCATCTCTTTCCATTCTCCCTTCTTCCCCCGATACCCCACCCCCTCGTTGTAGCCTTCTCCTAGCCATTTATCTACGGTCCGGCGCTTTCCCTCGTGAGAAGAAAAAAAATCCTCCTCTGCTTTAGTTGGGTGGAATTGAAGTAAGCAACGGGTTGTTGCTGTTTCTGGGAAATGGACTCACCGAGTGACAACCGAGTCAAATGCAGCAGCAGTCGTTTTCCGTCGAGACCCAGCGCCGACGATTCCCCCAAATCTCCGAGTTCAGATCTATCTCCACCGTTCACGCTTCTTCCAACCAATTTCTTCGATGCCGACGCCGCCTTCTTCCCCCGCCGTCCGATTTTCTCGCTCTACTACCCAGCTGCCAGCTGCCGCCGCTCTGCGATCTCGCTTTGGTCCGGTTCCTCGTCGCGACGGCAGCCAGAGAATTCCTGGCTGCGGCTGTTGAAAGGGACACGGAGGATTCTCAAGGCGGTCAACCCGCTGACGACGGTGGTCAGGAAATCTCCGGAGAGCTGGTTGAGTCCAAGGTCGAGAGTTTCGAGAACAGAGCATGACTTGAAAACAGAGGGGAACTCTCCGGTGAGCTTGTTCCCAGAGAGGTCGAGCTCCTGTAAAGTTCCGCAGAGACCACCGAGCTCGACCGGGATTTCGCCGGAGAAGCTATTGTGCGACAAAGATAACCACTTTAATTTCTTCAGCCTAGCTAACAACGCTCCCGGAATCGGCAGCTGGAGGTCGTTCTGCGGCGAAGGAGGAAGGAGACGAAGAAGAAGAAGAAGAAGATTTGGGTCGCCATCCCGGCGGCGGAGAAGGGGATACGAGGGGGTGGGGTATCGGGGGAAGAAGGGAGAATGGAAAGAGATGAGATGTGTGGTCTCCACCTTTCCCTTTAGTTTTTTTTTTTTTTTAACTTACTGAATTAGAAATGGATATAAAAGGGGAAATAAAAATAAATGATGTGGAGAAGCCACGTCAGAGTCCAATGCTGAGTAAGCAACGGAGAACATTGTTGACCGTCAAATCTGACAGTCAACCCGTCCCACAGGCCAAATTCGTCCGATAATTTGAAAAGTGGGCCAGAGATGTCTTATTTGAAAACTTGGGCCAGAAATGTCACTAACGCTATACTTCGTGCCAAACGAGGGTATTAACCCTATAATTAATAATTAAAAGAGTCTCCGACCGGCACGTCCCGTCCTCCCGCCGCAGCCGAGAATTTCTCGGCGTTCTCCGTCGTCCAGGATTTGTCGGCGGCCAACTTTTTTGGTATGCCGTCCATTTTCTAGTCAGAGAGAGAGAGAGAGAGAGAGAGAGAGAGAGAGAGAGGTGCTTTTTCGTCATCGACAAATTTTCCGGTGGCGGAGAGGATTTTCCGGCGACAACTTCTAGTTTGCTATGTTTGCCAAACTCTTTTGTAATATTTGTAAGTATGTTTTGTGATTTTGTATCAATTCGTTTTGTATTGTTTATGATTCTAGTTTGTCATTTGTATCTATTATGTTTGTAATGTTTATATGACTAATTTGTATACATTGTAATTTGTAATGTTTGTTTGTCTAGTTTGTATACTTTATGTTGATTTGTATACTTTGTATTCATTGATTTGTAATACTAGGTTACTGTTTTGTATTGTAAGTAATGACATTTTGTACTGTTAGTATGTTTTGTAATGTTTTTCAGTCTAGTTTGTATAGTTCGTATGTTTCATATTGTTTGTAAATATGTTTGTATATTTTGTCGCTCTAGTTTGTATTGTTCGTATGGTTTGTATTATTTGTAAGTTCGGTTTGTATACTTCATAATTTTTCATAATACTTTAATTACCTCTATGATTAAATAAAGAGTTCTTCGCACTCTTTAGCCGTGTATATCTAAAAATTGAGAGAGGTTTAATCAACTGATTAAGCACCCCTGATCCGCCCTCAGCCATGACGCACTCCTTGATGGCACACTTTTTTGGGCAAGTTTAAGAACACGTTAATGGGCCTTCGTTTGGACAGGCATGGAACGTAGTTGCAAAGAGGCCCAATGAGTAATAACACTACCTGAAACCCTTTTCCCGGTCGCTTGTCCCAGTAAGGCAAGGCGTGCGCTGGGCCCAGTCAGTCCCCCGGAAATATTTCCCCGCTGGGCCCCAAAATGTCTCCATCCGTGCGTGGAGGGCCCAGAGTTGTTTGTTCCACCGCCCAACCCCAGTCCCCACCACGTCCTCCTTCCCTCTCGTTGCTTCACTTTCATCCGAGATTCGACAACCCAGACAGTAACATGGCAAAACACATTCATTGCCATTCATCGTCTCCCCCACTCATTCACTGCACTCAAACCTCCTCCAACTGCAAAACTTGTTTGCATTCGTATTTATGGGAAGGATCCATCCCATCTTGTTCACGTCACTCCCATTCAGAAAGCTCTGTTTCCTCCCTCCCATTCCCTCTCTCAATCAATAACTTCCCATGCTTCCGTATCCAGACATACCCATCAAATTATTTATTTCTCACCATCCCCTTTCCACTCGCAACACCTCAGAATGCTTACTGCTTCGGTCCGATCTTAGAATCGATTTAGACCGCGGTACGAACAGAGTCGTCATGACATACCAGACATGTAGTGCAAGAACCAATAAAATCCAGAGTCTATTGCAATAGATCAAAGTGCAAATAGATCAGGCACAGTCAACATGATTGATGAATGCAGAACTTATTGGCTATCGCTTGAGTGCAGCAGTAAAGCTATGATCTGTTACTGTTAAGCATCTTCTTCACCAGATGAATGAACAAGCTCTAAATGGATTATATTACCATAACTTGGTCTGTCTGCTAACTTGGGCCTAGAAACCTGGAACTTTTGACATTTGATATATGAAGATTGACGACTGACTCTCGGCTCTAATCTATTTACAAATTCAAAAGAGACATTTTGGTTCAACGCCCTACATTCTTCCGCCTGTTTTGCCCTCCTTCTAATCTACTAAGCCACTACTACGAACTTTTCCCCGTCTTCCCTAATCATCCATCGTCCACCGAACGTTGTTCTCAGCACCGCCTTCTTGATTTCTCTCCAATGCAGCAACTCTTGTCTGATAGCCTGCAGCAGCCATGGCAGGTTTAACCACCCTCTGCGTCTGAGGAAGCTCACAGGTTTCACTTACCGAAGCAAACCTCAACTCAGCAGGAGGGATGAAACAGTCCATCGACAGTCCAGGTACGTTGAACGCTACTTCCTCGATTACCCAAGCTTCTTCCATTCGGGTCCGGGTGTGACTCATTGCTGTATCTCCAAACCTGAAGAGGGTTACAACCGAACGACCCGAATGAGCAATCATGACCCCATCCACTGGTCTGTAATCATCGAGGAAGGAGTTGATTGTGGTCTCCCAGTAAACAGCATCACCACCATTGTTCTGGATCCGGGTCAAGTGGGAGTCTTCCAGGTGAACAAGGAGGCCCGTTTTCTGGCTGAAGTAGCCAAACAGAACGTGCCTAATTATCTCTGCCGGTCCTTCGCTTCTAGCCTTCAGAGTTGCAGGATCAGCACATATCTTGAGGATGAAGCAGTCATCGTCGTTGATCTTCTTTTCTCCGATGCATCTTGCATTAGTGAACATGCTCGCTGTTGTTCTTGGGTCAAGACCCTGTGTAAGAAAATCAAATCGAAATCTTTAACTACTACCAGAACTGGGCATTGCAAATGCATCAATTGTGATCAAAGAAATGGAGAAGCTGTCATTTTCCCATACCTGCAATGCACGCCGCAAGGGTCTAACAGGGCCTTTTGCAGCATGTGGACCAAGCCAGGGTGTGTGCCTCCAAACAAGCTTCCCATTGCAACCGGCATGAACTTTACTTCCACCAAGAGCCAACTCCACATACCACATGTCGGGATTCATTTGCCACAGGACAAAGCCACCAGATTCAGCAGTTTTGGAAGAGCCCCTATTCTTGGTCACCTTGTTGGCTGTCTCAAACTCTGAAGCAATCATCCTCACTTTTCCCATAGCATAAGCATTGTGGATGGAACTTTGAAGCCTCTGTCCTCCAGAGGCAGCCGTGTACTGCTGCAATATGTACTGTGCAGAGGAGGTTTCCTGCATTACAAACAGACAAGAATCGCAATTCAGTCTTAGGAAAAGAACGAAAGTTCAACATTGAATCAATGGTTCAATGGAAAAAAACCCAATTGATCGCACTATTCCAGACTAAAAAGGATAACTCAGATCGTTGTCTTCTTCAGCTATGCAAAAACAACAGCTTTGGGGGGCCAATTAAAGCTACACTTTTTTTCCCCAGGAAAAAGAACTTCTCCAATTTTTTCCTACCTAACAAAACAAGCTACCAATTGAAGCCATCAGATATTACAAAGACTAGCAGCCATGGCCACAAGCATGCTGGAATACAAACAAACAGAAGGGATCCATCAGAGAGATGTCAACATGCACAAGAACGGAACGACAGAACAAAGGACATCTTTACTCTCTAACTCTTCAAGCTACTGTTAACAACAAAATATCATGCCAATAGTCCATACTAACAAACCCATTTTAATTTTTTACCTAATTGAAGAAGCCTACAAGACATTGACAAGATAGTAATTAAATTTTTTAGGTCGCTCATCACACCATCAATATGACTCAACCAACCCAAGTCAAATGAATGCAGAAGGCAGAAGCAATTTTAGGCAAACTGGGGGAAGTGCACTTGATCACCATCAAATTGCAGAACGAGAAATGGGAAACAAAGAGGAAGGAGGAGACTAACAATTGGAGTGTCCTTTATGCTGAGGTGAGGCAACGGTTCAGCGCTGCTAACATGAACAGGAGCCAGCGGAGCACCCAAAACGCCGAGCAGCAATCTCAGATCAGCCCTTTTGCAGCCATCCGCCGACGACGCTGCCGCCGACGGCGCTCTGGCGAGAGGGCCTTTCATCCACTGACGACCCCACCGACCTTCCGCCCTGCTGGAATCTCCGACGCCGTCCTGATCCGGCCCTTCCATCAACGGTGAAAGGGTCTCCGGGGGGCGCAAACTTCCCGATCTCGCGATTATAAGCGGCTCCGGCTGCGAGACGCGCTGTCCGTGGCCCTTCCTCCGACGCAAAAGACTCGACATTGGCGACGCACTCCTGGCCGGGCTCTTTGCACGCGACCTGCTCGGCGAAAGTCCTCTGATGACTTCCCCTTTCAGAGCCGAGAAAAACCCTTGTTTTCGCTCCATTTGTTGAGCGGATTTATGCCGCTTAATCCAGATTCCAGAGAGACGGTAGTGAACGATTAGGGGCGAGTGGGAAGTGGGAGGAATGAAAGATGGTGCTTGAGCAGAAAACAGAGCTAATTGAGAAGCTAGCGAGTAAAGCGAGAGAGAGAGAGAGAGAGTGACAGTGCGTGGAAGATAAAGCAGCCTTTTTTAAGAAAAAAGAAACGAACAGGGAAAGAGAAGAAAAGACTAAAGCGAGCTGTCTGATAATTAATCGAAATAATAATAAAATTAAACACCTAAAAATTACTAATTAATTAATTAACCACCGCGAGACCGGCATACCAGAGCAAAGCTAATCCTGGATTTGTGATTTGTTAGTGGCGATTAGAGTCAAACTTTGTGGAAGTGCAATGGTGTCTACCGAGAAGGAAGAAAATGATTTGTTAGAGAAGTGGTAGGTTTAGTACTTACTGTATTATTATTAATTTTTTTTTATGGAGACCAAGGGTTTATGTATCAATCAATCCCTTTACTTTCTTTCAAGGGACAAACTCACCCTTCAACCTTATGTTTTGATTAAATTAGCCATACTAGATTTCCAAGTTTAACAAACATATCTTTTCGTTACATTTTTATCTCAGTAATCATTTTTAGTAACTGACTAACTTGACACTTGTAACGTCCAATAAGCAACCATGAGAACGATTTTCAACAATATCCATATTGAAATGTGGAAAAATTAAAAAAAAAAAACATCAGTGACGAGCCATTTTAGTTTAAGATAGCTCCAGTAAGACACCATCTTGGTTTGAGGAGAACCATTAAATATAGGAGCACATATGTATCATGAATAGAATTCAAACTTCTAAACTCGTTGTTATTAGGCATACGTACGTGTCTATGAACAAACTAGAACAAATTTTGTGATGGATACTTAAATCCAAATTATTCTAGCTATGGATTAGACAAGAAAAAGTTGTTGAAGTTTGTTACCTTTGATTTAATGAGATCTCTGAAGATATCTTACTTCTCGAACATCATCAACTAGATATTTTATTTACTTATTTATGTGGAGACCAAGGTTGTCAAACCGGTTTAAGTCATTGAGCCGGTCAAGCAAGGGGTTTGAGGTTTAATGGTCTGATCGGGGTCCGGCCGGTTTGAGCCGTTTTAGACGTTTTCTAAATATATATACAAATAAAGTAGTAATTAAAAATTTAATGAGTGAAATAAAATTTATCTTACATATATCTATTAAAAACTTATTTTCAACAAAGTAAATCTACCTAACCTCCATGATCCACCTACCATTTCCCTTCCTTCGTTCCTTTTCCTCTCTTCTGCCTCTCTTCTTCTCCCTGTTTAAGGGTCAGACCGGGGGGTTTTCTGGAGGCCGTTTTGAAGCCCGACTCGGGTTGAACCGGGTCCAACCGGGAGGTTCGATAGGGGTTTAACAACCTTGGTGGAGACAGATGAGAGGTTCAAGCATTAAAAGATATTATTGAGCTTTTTCAGGTGAATGGTTGTGTAAAAGAAGCATAGAGTGTTTTGTTAGCGTATTGACTTGAAAAATTGGCATTACTAATATAGAGTGCCACTGCAACCGTTAAAATTGTATTTTCATAATGAACTAGGTGAACAACTAGCTTTGATATAAAATGAGTGAAGTCATGAATGATGGCATACCATGTGTAATTGAAAATATAACCAAAATCATCTTATGATTGTTTTTTCAAACGTCGAAACCACTTGAGTGAAATCCTAGCTATACTACTAGGAAATATTAGTACATTGATTTTAGGAGAGGAGCCCTTGACTGCTAGAGGTGTTTCGAGACTCTCCTAATTTTTGAAAAAAAGATAATTGATCTCCCAATAGTAGTTTGAGGCAGAAAAGAATAAGAAAAATAATTAAAATCTAATTTCCACAATTTTTCTTCCGAAAACTAAAAACAAAAATGTTGTTCTACCATCTTAAGCTAGAAAGCCTTACACGAATTTATTCTAGTAATTTTTGGTGATCTTGATGGCTCTTATATTCTACGGTATTTTGAGAATTATTATCATTGTGTTAATCATTAAGAATGTTGAGTTATTTTGTGGATGAAAAGAAATTGATGACTTAGTTCAGTTGATGGTGAGACAAATGTGAATTTATCATAGTCATCGGTCTATTTGATTCTCAAAGTTGTATTGATTTTATTACTTGCAACTACAAGTGTTGAAAGAGTTGTTTCAACTTTGGGTTATATCAAGAACAAGTTTCGAAATCTGTTTGAGCCAAGAACCAACCAATTCAAAGTTCCTCCCTCAATGCTCGGGCGAATGGGATTCTTAACACCAGGAGCTGCACAAAAGAGCATCGGGCTTACTTCGCCCGTTAGCAGTCTGATGATTAAGTTAGGAGAGAAAGCGCGATGTGGGTAGTATTTAGTGAGATAGTCCAATCTAAATAAAGCAGTTACCTTTCCTATTTATATCCGAGGTATTCCAACATGTACCCTCTTCGTCCGTCCTACGTCAACATAGTATTTAATGATTTGTACCTTTGGTCGGTCATGTGCCCCTACAAATGCCTACAACGACAGAAGACCCAAGCTGTAACACTTTAGGCGAATCCCACACCGACAAAGCACGGGAGAGATCCATGGTTCATAAGTAAGAAACCGATCTTAACTGACAAGACGCGTTTTGGGATGAAATGGAAGAGTTCTTGTGAGAAATCCGAAGTTAAATGTGCTCAGTGTGGAGTACAACGAGGATGGATGACCTTATGAGAAGTCACCTTGAATTGCAACCCAAGTCAAAATCCATGAGGGTCGAGGTTCAAAGCGGACAATATCATGCTCGAGAAAAGGTTCGTATATTACAAGTGGTATCAGAGCCTCTCCGCGTCCCTCTTGAACGATGGTGGGGCAAATCTTAATGAGGAGGTCGAGTCTCAAGAGGGGTGTATGTAACACTTTAGGCGAATCCCACCGACAAAGCACAGGAGAGATCCATGGTTCATAAGTAAGAAACCACCTTAATTGACAAGACGCGTTTGGGGTGAAATTGAAGAGTTCTAACGAAGATAAATATGCTCAGTGTGGAGCACAATGAGGATGGATGGCTGATAACACCTAAATTGGTGTTATTTAACCTTCGTATTGAGTTTTGTTTCGTGCCAATTCATGTGTATAAATGCTTAAACATCGTCAATTGCACTCCTATTTGAATTCGATGTGATTTTAGGGTGCGTTAGACGATATATGCGAATTAGGTGCAAAACAAGGTCACCAGTGTAGCAAGGGGGCAGAAGACGGAAGATCGTGGCCTAAAAGTATAGATCACTGCCGAGATCCTGGGCCGCAAAGATAAGCTGAAGATCACGGTCTGGAAACCCAAGATCGCGATCGCGAATTGGAAGGCTCAGGGCGTGAATTTCGCCAAGAAGGCAAGAAGGAGCCGAGTAGAAACAGAGAGTTTCCCCAATCTGATCATGACCACAGTGCATTCTGACCGCGAGGAAGATAGCGACCGTAAAGTGAGCCCGCGATCTCCTCAATCCCAAAGGCCAGCACGTCTGCATTTCAAGATCGCGACCTCTCCTCTGAAGATCCCGCCGCGATCTCTGCCCTTCTAGCCGCGAACTTGTTCGTTTCCTGATTGCCTATAAATAGGAGATCCATTTCCCATTTTAGATGCGCTGATTTTGAGAGAAGAATTTCTGGTTTTTGAGAGAAATAAGAGAGAGAAGTTGACTCGTTCTAACTTCAACATCCCAATCGACGGTCAAGTATAACCGCCGACAGGGTGTAGCATAGGGAGAGCAAGCAATAAGAATTTATCGTACCATGGGGATCTAGGCTTACCCTACTTAGGTTTAGGGTTTGTTATATAGCCAACCTAGGATAGTGATTAGAAGAATTAAACTAACTAACCTAGCTAACCACTAACCTAGCTATTTACAAGGTTGGATCTCTCTTGGGTTAAATCCCCCTATTTCCGACCTTTGGATCGATGTTGAGTATCCTCCTAGCTCGATCGACTCAAATACACTACCTCTTGGAGATGGACTCCCTCGAGAATTACCCGGAACGATGAATCAATGGATGGGTAGTGCTCTATTCAACCTACGGTATCATATATTGCTAGGAGACCGGTCGAATCAACTCCCTTGGTGACTACCCGGACAATATACGATAGGAGTGGCCCAAAAACGCCAAGGAAGGGGCTCTAAGGGGGTTATCCCACTCCTAGGTCAAAAGCTTAAAGCATGAAAATGGAAACCACACTCATGCCATTCAAGAGAACATTCATCAATTAAGTAAAATCAACAATCAATAGGGGTGGGATTCGGTTTTTTGGTTAACGGTTTAACCGGTAACCGTACCGGTAACTGTGATTACCGGTTAAACCATTAACCGGACGGTAATGGTTTTCGGATGGTAAGTTTGAGACGGCGGTATACCGGAAAGGCGGAAATCGAGTGCTAATTAACCGACGGGAATCCGGTTGTCCGATACAGGATTTGCAGGGCTACTAGCGATTCTCCTAGTTAAAATTGGTTCTCTAGCCTATTAGGAAAAGGAATTACAATTACTAATATCAGCCCTACTAATTAATTACTGTGCTCTCTCCCCTCTCGCTCTCTGCCTGGCGCCTGCCTAACTGAGCCCTCACGGAGTCCCGCGGCCCAATCGTTGTCTCTCCGACGCTGACACATTCAGACCGACGAACGACGTAGCAGCCCAGCACTGCAACCTCTCCGTCGACCCCAGCATCGCGTCTTCTCTGTCGACCGCATCGACAATCGTTGTCTCTCCAACTTTGTCAGTTTTCAGGTTTTTTAAGTGAAGGTTGATAGTGATTCCACCGCCGACCCCAACAGCTGCTATTGTTGACTTTATTTTTTAATTTAATCGCCGGTGAAGCTTCCCCGCCGCCGTTGCTATTTTTTGAAGGGGACAAGCCAAAGTTCTCATATTTTTGAATGTTGATGATGATGAGGGGCCAACCAATTGACTAATTCTATAATTCTTTCTGCCATTTTTTTATTTCTCAAGTTCCCAACTCACGAAATGGGAAAACAAAGTACCAAAGTGGGCCAGTCCCCACTCCCCACCTTTCGTCACTCGTCCCTTCCTGTAGGTGTACAGAGTCCATTCCGGTAATCGACTACCCAACACTAGGGATAGCAATG